CATTTTTATTTTTCTAACAGGGTGGTTGGCTTTTGGACTAGGTTGGTTGCCTTTGGATGTTGTGGAGGTAGTAAATTTAAATGAGTGTAAGAGAAAGATTGATAAGTACATGAATGCTAAAGGCTGGCTTTGAGATCTCATTTATTTTTTATAATAGTTTTAGTTTAGTTTAGAGGATGGGACAGCAGAGATAGACCAATAAGTCCCACGTTGTCTTACAACATTATGTTATGTTAAATGTAGGGATGGGTAATATCAATCCTTCAAAAAAGAATGCAAATATGATAGCAAGGATGGTATTTGCATTATCATTACAAAATAGCACAAGCAAGAATTAACATATAGTAATATATATAACTATTCAATCACAACTGAGTTTAATTTATCCTATTTTTGTCTGTTAACATTCTACTACACTGTGTGCTTGTACTATTATGTAGGGATAATGTAAATGCCATCTCTACTATCTTGTTTGCCTTCCTTTTTAGGGATTGATATTAGCCATCCCTACATTTACTTCCTTTTTTGGAATTTTTTATTTACTTTACAGATATTGTATATTATAATGTAAGAACGAAAGAAATTATGTATTTACAAATAAAGTATTAAATTTTTTTAAAAATCATGAAAAACCCATTTTACCTCTTCAGTTCTATCAGTTCCTAAGCCTGTCCAAAACACTGGTATTTCACTTTGGACCATGGAGGTACATTCCCATTTATTTATATCTAACTCCTGACAAAGAAAAAAATATTTTAGATATTTAGTTTGATAATAACAATATTGTTTTTTAAGATACTCTTTATATAAATTCACTCTGTGATTGGTCAGATTTATATTTTGGTGTTTTCATTGTACTATCTAATAATTATGTCTGACAACATATACAATCTGTCAAATGTCTGTGTTCAAGGTATCAACACTAGTTTTCATGGAAATTTGCAAAAGAAAAGTATTATTCTGGTTTACGTATTATACTTATATTCAATATTACAACAGTGGTCATACAATCTTTAATTTGAAAGAAAACATAATGAATAACCAATGCTTACTTGGTCTTCCTCTAGCATTAACTAATATTACTATTGATCAGGCATAATGATACCAGTTTATTAAGAATATTAAATAGTATGTCCTATTATTTTAACTGTATAATCTCCCACAGTCGTTGTGGATTATCAGACTTCTCTTTGCAGCATTATTTTTAAAATAATGTCTCAAATTTTCAAACAAACTAGCATATCAATACCTTGGGCTGATCATTTTATAACATTCATATCACCCTCTCTTTCCTTCTTATATGAGTAATTCTTATTCATGAGAGCAGTATGGTTATGGAT